AAACAAGAAATATCTAAGAACTCAAATACAATCAAAAATAACTAGAACACAGGAATGGAAAAAGACCAATGAAAACTCAGAGATAAAACTTGAACAGAACCAAAACCATGACACCTAAAGCATGTTTTTGTTACATGCAGGAAAATTCCTCTTACCAAAAATCTCTTTATTTGGCCCTCTTCTAAAAGAGCCATTTGGGCTTTCCACACCGCTGTCCAACTCGCAACCATGATAGCCAGTTGGCGTTTGTACAGTAAAGATAGCCGAGGAGCGTGGAATACTACATTAGATGAAGGCCAGGCTTTATCGATGGACTTCTACAGACCACTATGGATGGCTTATTTCCCCTTATGACAACATAAAGCATAAAGGGTAGGATTTTCAAAGCAGTTTAAGCACACATTAGGTTGGAGGAGTAGAAAGGAAATTATAGAGGGGAAAGGTTTTTTTTTTATTTGTGAATCTCATTCACATGCTTCAGTACACAGTGTTGGGAAAGTTCTCTTTCTATGTTTCTTCTAAGTTCAGTTCACGCATTTTAAAATGAACTAGTTCAGTTCATAGTTCATAATTCAAAATTTTGAACTAAGTTCACAGTTCCAAAAAATGAACTAGTTCATAGTTTTTTTTTTTTTTCATATATTGCTCAATTACACCATAGCCTACTGTAGAACCACAGACAGCTATTATTTTATCAGTTGTAACTCTGAAACTGTGCGTCAGATTTCATCTTCATATCCAGTTTTGAATCCTTATCCAACCAGGGTTTACATTAGCATTGAGGGGACAGCATTTCCCCATTGTTGCTTTAACGCTTTGTTGCTGTCCATTCACTTCACACTAGTAGCAGCTGCAGCTTTCACCCCTACAGTATATTCTCAAAAACATCAGGAAAAATGTGCTGCTTGAATGGTCTTTTTTATGAGGAATTATTCAAAGAAAAACAGGAAATTAGTCTTTTTTTTATTTTAATTATTTTTTCCATTTGAAATTTCATTTCAGTTCATACTAAAAAGGAATCCTGGAATCCTGGAAAATTATACCAGGCAGGTTTAAGTGCGGATTTTTTTTACTGAAAGCCGGCGGGCAAAGTTTGCAGAGAAATGTAAGACTGTTTCCATCATCCTCACCGACCACCTGGTCATAAAACTGTTTTAAGTGATCATACTGCTGCTTTGTCGCCTCCATGCTGCTGCGGCTTCCACGCTGCATTTTGTTTTGATGACGCATGCGGCTGTAGGCTACGATACTGGTAGCTGGTGTTGCCAGATTGGGTGTTTTTCCCGCTACATATTAAGGCCTGTTTACGGTCTGATTTAGCCGGGGTTTCGCCTGGAGGGCTCTATAGAAATCTGGCAACCTATTGAACGGAGTTGAACTGAGAGAGCGTGCCGTTCACAGACACCAGAATGAACGAGTTCACAATAATGTTCATCAGGCGGTAATACAGTACGTTCAGTTCACGTTCGCCCAAAATATGAACGAGTTCATGAACTTTCGTTCAATGAACGCGTTCAGGCACAACACTGTCAGTACATATATAACTATTACAAAATTTTTATAATGTGATTTTTTTGTAATAATAAAGGACATTTAAGGGTTAGTGTTTAGAGGGTGGTTTAGGATTGGGCCACTGTGGAAGTGGGCTATACCGCAATGCATCGTGGGTAAATGCAAACACTAAAAATACTTATGTTGTAAGACTTCCAATAATTGCAGAAGTGTTATAGTATGTGTTACAGTAAGGTAGTGCCATTGCAGTGCCATAAACATGTAGAAATTGAACAGGTTACACAAAATAATGGAAATATCAATTTTGCCAGCCAGCAGATGGCTGCATCGAAAAGGTTCAGTGTTAATAAAGAGCATCTGGTGTTTTCATCTGACCTTCATCTAATGAATGTCCTGCAGTGTGCATAGAGTAACTCCCTAATGGCAGGCATGTAACTCCTCTGATTGATGACATGCTACTAGCTAGAAAGCACGCTCTCACAATGAACCAAATCATGTCCCAGCACCTCACCCTTTGGATGACAGACACAGCCTTTAATTCAGTTTTAGAAAATAACCACTAGCAGTTGAAAACTTTTTTTCGTGTTTATAAATGTAAACTAAACACAATTTATACTAACACAAAATATTGGAATATTTTGTTTTTCCACTTTTCATTGTATGCATGAATACATATGTATTATGTATGTCCAAAGAAGATAAATTGGTATGATATAATTAAGAACATAAATGTTTGGAGTAAGGATCTTTGAGTGAAAGGAAAAGATTGATAAAGATGATGTTTTTGTAGCTGAACGACTTGACAATTGATCTCCTGGTTATTCACACTTTGTCTCATTTAATGAGTCAGGTAACAGAAACGGTATCCCTTGCTTGAAGCTGTGGACTTCATTAAGAGCAGTAATGGTGTGCAATGATGTGATAAGGTTTGATGCTGTCAGAGGACACCAGCAGGGTGTTGTTTTTCTAGCACCATTAACATAAATGTGGCCACCATGTATTGTCAGGACATATGTTGTCCACCTGCTTATTGTCTTGGATCAGGTTCAAAGTGAATAAGGCTTTGAAAGTTTCCGTTACTTGTGTTTTTTCTAAAAATGTGGGTGATTGTTATTTTCATTGTCTCACTGCTAGGTTTCGCAATGTACTCCTTGTTAGTTCTAACCCTGATGATTTGCTTCATTTTTTGTTGGAATTGTTTTTTGTTAATATTAAAATTAGTAAACAAAACAATTATATTAAGTTTATTTTACATTTACTTTGTTCTATAATCCATCCTTCCATCCATCCATCCATTTTCTGTCGTGCTTATCCCAAGCGGGGTCACGAGGGATACTGGTGCCCATCTCCAGCTGTCTATGGGCGAGAGGTTGGGTACACTCTGGACAGGTTGCCAGTCCATGTACAATGAAAAGTTCACTTTTCACAAAAAAATATGCACACTGAAATATTTCATGAATTACCAACATTTTCTTTAAAGTAGCTCTGCTCTAAATAAAACTCTCCACGCAACAAGTTAAATTAGGGAACATCTTTGTCTGTTTTTTCAGATTATTTATAATATGATGGAGGCATAGCAACAGTTAAAAAGGAACAATAAAAATATGTTAAACAAAGAAAGTCAAAACTTTGTTTTATAACCTGCAGCTACTCATCCATAACTTTAAAATCTGCCTGTTGATGTTGGTTGTTAATTAATAGTCTCTAATGAACCTTTTAGATCTTTGCAGAACAGCTAGATTTATGCTGAGATTAATTTACACTGTTGGACACTATTTAAAAGTTAAAAAGATGACTTCTGAAAGGAAAAACCTTTAGTTTTAGGATATTTTAAAAGTATCGACCTGAAGTGGACTGAATACAAATGCCTGCTACAGTTTAGATATATATTTTTTTACTTTTACTATATATTTTACTATTTCCAATTCAAATTCAACCATATTCTTTTTTGCTTCCAATTGTTTCCCATTTTTGAAAGAAATGGATGTATCTATTATATATTTGTAGCACTTGTCATACATCAACATGTTTGGCTATGGAAGCGGTAATGTTCAGTCAAGAGTCCTAGTTTTCCTTAATTCAGCCACAGTTTACTTTTTCCCTAATTCAACTACAGTTGACTTCTCTGATTTAGAGGCTCTCTATGGAACCAAAAAATAAGCAGGTCAGAACTTTTCTAAGCTTCACTGACAAGCCTGACAACCAAAAAATAAGTTTTTAAAAGGTATTAAGCAGGGTAAAAGGAAAATTTAAACCATGATCTGTTTTGTGTGTTGACAATTTAGTGTCACAGCGCTTGCTCTGCTCAGCTCAGGGCTAATTATCTCATGTGAAAGTAAAACAAAAGGTTATCTTTCTGATTTCTCTCCTTTATGACTTTAGAAATGAGATACACTGCAGCAGCTCGAGAATTGCTCCCAATATAACACTCAGGAGAAAGCCAAATAATGTCAGCGCTTATGACGGACAGATGGTTAAACAGTCTCTTATCTACAAACACAGGATATATAATCACAGGGGAATGCTCACCCCTGTCTGAGTCGCATTTCTGCCGGCAATCTCTCTGTGAACATAGATATCGAGTTGTAAATCACAGACATAGTACTTCTGTTGTTGCCACCTGGCAATGAATGCATGTGTTGTTCAGGCTAAGATTGAATCAGTCCAAGGTTCATCTACTTCACTTCCAGCAGGTTCCAACCTTTTTTCTGGTCAAAAAGAACACAGCCATATTTTGTGTGCGGTAGCAACACATACAAAAATAGACCATTTCATTGCTAAGCAGTGTTTTGGCTTATTATCAGTTAATTATTGTATTTATAAAATCCTGAGCAGACATGTGGTGTAATTATAAAACGATTTGGAGTAATAATGACATTTTGTGTTAAAACCTACATTTATCCTTGCTACCCATTACTACAGAACACTTCAGCTGCTGAAAGCGCCAATTTTGATTCTGAACATTTGCTTGGCAATGATCCAAAAATACCTCTGCCATCCTTACTTACAGTAGCAGCCATTCAAAATGGCCCTAACCAGTCAATGCCAACCGACTGGCAGCCAACTTCCAGCCACTGGATTGACCCCCTTCTTTCTCATGGGCATGCATATTTTTTTTACTCTGACTCCACCCTTTCACTGAATTACAGGTTCTGACCAGGAGATGATGCTTCTGATTAAATCTTAATGTCCACAAATCATGACAGAAATAATATTTCAGTACAGATTAATGTTTAAAAAAGGAAATGTAGCGGACCAGCCAAGGGACCATCAAGGACAGTAGGGAAATGTTGAATGGCTACTACTGTTGCTTCAAATTAGTCAGGTTGTAAAAGAAGGCAATTGGTTTTTCAGTCTTTTATTTGTTCTTGATCAAATACTTTTTATTTTTGTTAGGTACATTGAAGAAATTCAAAACAATATAAAAAACAGGCCAGTAATATAAATGTTACACTGATTTAAAAAAACAAACAAACAAAAAAAACATAAAATATGAATATTGCTATAAGTAAAGTTAAAAAAAAATTTCTGAAGCCACAAACAACCTCATGCAAAATAAAGAATGCACATGAAAAATCAGGCATATCCAGTGTCAGAGAACTTTTCTTAAAATGAGAAATAGCTGCTTTAATTTAACCCAGAGTGCAGTTTTTCAGGAGAAGAGACAAAAAATAATAAAACAATTAAAGCAAAACAAACTGTTTGACATGCTGCCATCACGTCTTGGAGTATGTCATTCTGCTCCTATATTGCTATATTGTGCTTTTACCAGATTGTTTCACTTACAAAACTGGTATCTATCTCAAGACATTTTGCTCAATTAATGAGCCGGTTCATTCTCGCCAGATGGATGGCACATTCCCACCGTACAGCTTATGTTATAAAGTCATTTTCAAGAATTCAGTTGTGGTATAGTAGTAAATGGTATTTGATAATTCATATTAAATCATATCAACTGGTAACAATTTATTAGGGTTTATTAGGTTGTTAAGTATTATTAGGATCCTCAAAAAGTCCTTAATTCCAAATAGTTTCTGATAAATACAAAACAGTATTATCAGAGCTAACATCTGAGCTTTTGTATGACCAGTTAATACCATAAGCAATAGAAGTAATTATAAATTATAGTTACTTATAGGTTATAGTTTAACCACATTGTTTAAATGGGTTGTTTACCTGTATGAAATGGACGTAAAGAAGGGAATTCGAGGACAACACTGACAGAGAAAATATACAGATCAAGTCATAATATATTTGGGGCTCATAAAAGAAAATGAGTTACTTTGAGTTTGATCAAGTACAAAATGTAAAAAATGCAACAGTTGATTCTGTAGGAATCTTTCAATTTGTAACTTTTCAATATCTTGTCTGTCTTAAAAAGACAAGTAATTCAAGGCAATCTCTTTGGAGAAGTGTTTCTTACTTAAAAGTTAAAAGAGTCTCAAAAACAAGCTTCACAAAGTATCCCAAAAAATAAAAATAAAATGTCCACACTATTGTGCATACTAATAAAGGACATGGAAAACATTACATAACACTCTATATGCAGCAGATCCTTATTTTACATATCAAGTGTCAAAGAATCATGTTTCCAGAGCATTTCTACCAATGTGTGAAAATCTACTCAGCACCATTTTAGTACAACTAATGTGTTATTTATAAAACATACACTTACAGTACACAAAATGTAAAAGTACATATGGATGGAGATTTAAAACAAACATATTACTTATGCAGAATTCACATTTCTAAATTTCTATATCAGTTAGTAGAGAAAAGGTGTGTATAAAAACACTCAAGTAAGTTCAAGTAAGCTATCTTTAAATCAAGTTTGGTCCATACAGTACAAACAGGTTCTTGAAGGTTTTTCTTCACAGTATGAGATTTAAAAAAAATAATAAAAAAGGCATGTTCTTAAACCCCATTCAGTTATTAAAACTGATCAGCTAATACTGTATTTCATGAGCAATTACTTCAAATATTGATAGGTAAGTCCCTAAGTTTTTGAATTTGTCGTCTTTGAAAAAGTTTCTTTATTCCTACTGCATCAGCAATCATCTCGGCAAGTTGAAGCGCTTTAGTCCATCTAGCTCCTACAGAATTTAAGAAGTTTTTTTCTTACCAAGAGGATGCCAGTGTTCAAATTTTGAAGTCATCCCAAGTCTATTCAATAAACTGCACCGGCATAATTAATAAGGAGACGATTGGCTACACACTGATGCTTAAGCTAATTGTTCACAATTTTGTATTCCATGAGAATCTGTGAGTGATATACTACTTGCCAAACTACTGTAAAGTCTCTTCGATACATTTGCAGTATCATCCGATTTTTTTTGTTTGTAATTTAATCACATAAAATAATTTGAAAAAATAAAAAAAAAACATTTACAAGAATGCAAAATTAATAACGTCTACTTGTTCACAGGCTTAATCAGTCCATGTTTGGATTACTAGAAGAGTGATGATAGCCATTGCTGTTATTTCTGCAGGGTTCTCTACCAACTGCAGACACAGCAGTAATAAGTGATAAATTTTAACAAGCGCCAGTAAGATAAACATACTGTGTACTACTGTACTGTACTGTGTAGTACGGTGTCCGGATCTCCAGTCCAGGAAGACCTGGGCTTTATTTAATTTAACAGCTTTATCACTCCAGCCAATTTTAGAATTTATTATCTTTGAGTCATTTTGATGCATATGACTAGTAGATGTTAAGTAAAGAAATACAAAAAAGTATCTTTCAAGTCTGCATTATCAAAAATAACATTTGAAGAGAGATGCTGATACAGTATGATACAGTACTGTGGGATAAAAGTAACGTGTGAGTTTCAAGTTGTTCAGAGACTTCAGTACAACTCAACCTTAGTGTACCAAAGCTATTCTGCACATATTTAAGTGCACTTGATCAAAGCAACAAAATCATGTAATGAGAAATACATGAGAGAGCTGTGGGGGATTTCCAGTTGACAAAGTTCAAAACTTACATTAATGATTACTACACTACTAAAGATGACTGATCAAGAGCCAAATCTAGATTAGAGATTTTTACAGGCATGACAATTTTTGTAAAGCCGACACCTAGATGTTATGTGAGCTAACTTAAGAGTTAGATAAGAGTTCTGAGAGTAAAATTCTACAGATCGTACTGTATTATCACAGTGACTCAAGGTTTGGTTTTAATGTAATAACACCACATGTAAAAATCAATGGTAAAGATATTCCTGTTGGTCAGTTTTGTCCAATCCACTATATACATATATTATTCATTCTATGCCATTCACTATAGCAGTTTCTCAAAGTTGTGAAACAAAGTGTCTTGAGACAAGTGCTGCAGTAGACTGGTGATTTTCTCTTGCAGACAACACAGGACCGTCTTCCAGCAGTGGCCCGCTTTCTAGAGGACACATTACTCATTTTCTCAAAAAAGTAACCAGGAAGGTGCCCTAAACCTGGGGCTTTGCATCCTGCAAAGGTCTCCCCACCAGAGGAAACATTCTGATTTACGTCTTCCTGACAGGAAGGAGCCAAGGCAAGCTCCTCATTAGAAGGGGAGGAAGGAGGCTCTGTAGTCAATACACCAGGCTTGGTGTTCACTAGATCCATGGGTTCCATGAAAGGAAAGATACACTGCATAAGTTGTAGCGGGCCTGATCTGCGTGGAGTAGAACCTATCCGAGCCAGAGATAGAATTAGATTTTCTCTGAAGCGTTTATGTGTGCCTGCAGGACGGTTTTGCATTTTGCACAATTGTTTGTGAAGAATAAATGCATTTACTGTGGCTATATCAACAAAGTGATAAAACATAGTTTTGTACCATCTCTGTGTTTTATGAAGGACATTGTAGTAGCCAATAAGTGCATCAGACAAATCAACCCCTCCCATGTACTTGTTGTAATCTTTGACACAGCCTGGAATGGTCACGTGTGCAACCGTCCACTGCCCATCTTTGTTTTTTACTTTTCGCTTTGCCATATCGTTACTGTAAGCTTTGTGGATGGTGGAGCACAATGATACCTCTCGGGTGTCAAACCACTTAACAAATAACAAATCTCCTTTCCTGAGCCATCTTATGGTTCCTCTGGGGGATTTTTCTTGGGTGTTGTTGGTTTTGGTCTTGGGAAAGCCAGATACATTGGAGCGGATAGTGCCGCATGCCCAAATTTTCTTTTTAAGAAGGTCAAGAAAAAGGGCTGGACTAGTGTAAAAGTTGTCAACATAGAGTTTGTAGCCTGTGCCTAGAAAAGGGATGTTCAGCAGTCTCATGACAGCGTCATAGCTAATCCCCTTCCCTGTGGGTACTCCATCTTTCCCCACATAGACAAAAAAGTTTAGGGTGTAGCCACACACTGAATCTGCTAAAACGTAGAGCTTAAATCCCCATCTTGTTGGTTTATTTTTGTTGTACTGCCTAAAGCCAAATCTTGCTTTACTCGCCACCATTCGTTCATCAATGGAAATATGCTGGTGTGGGTGAAAGTAGGTATGACAGGCCTCCAAAATCTGATCATACAGTGGCCTTATCTTAAAGAGTCTGTCATAACCCCTTGTTCCCTTTTTTAGGTTGTTGGCTGCTTCCTTAGCAGGATCATTCATATGCAGACCGCGAGATATGGCTAAGAAACGTCTACAAGGCATAACAGACGCAGGAAATGGAAAACGGAAAAGTGCAGAACCTCTCCAAAAATCCTTTAGAGTTTTAAGTGGTGCAATGCCCATGTAGAGGACAAGACTTATGTAAGAGTACATATCTGCTGCTGTAACAGGATCCCATCTTTGCTTTAGACTTTGGGATTTCTTTTCCCCATATGTATTAGTGTTTTTTACCAATGTAGAAATGACCGTAGTAGTAAAAAACAGCTGAAACAACTCAAGGGGTGTGTAACTTGCTGTTCTGTTCAGCTGAGGACCTACATCCCTCTGCGGTTTGAACCGTGGCTGCAGAGGCTCGATATCTTCCTCATCAATATTTCGCCAGCGGTCTTCATCATTCTCTTCGTCTGGCTCTACATCTTGCCTTTGCCTCTTCTTACTTGGAGTGTTACTGCTCGGACTTAAGAGTCTCTTGCGAGAATTGCTGGAGAATGGGCTTTTTCTGCCTGTAGCTGCGTTGTTGACCTCTCTATCACTGCTGTCTCCCTTCCATGTCTTGGATGTAGATTTCAGAGGCATTGAAGATGCATATACGGAACGACACTGCCTCCTTGAAGCTCTTCTCTTTGCAGGGCTACAATTCCAGTCGTCGTCTAAACTGTTCTCATCAGCAAATGCTTTCCTGTAAGGGAAGTATATAGCTGAGGGTTAATATGTCAGGCAATACTTATTGTTAGAACAAAGTTAGAGCATAAATTGAATGAACATATTACTCATACAGCACCTGATTTAATAATTTTCTTTTTTCTGTTATACTGTTATAGGTCTAGAGCAGTTAGTGGTTACAAGGTTTTAAAAATGTACATTCTTAATAATGGTAGAAATGTCCATCATACTTCTTCCACAGTTCAAAGTTCTAATCTGTGTTACTTTACATACCTGATAAAAAGTTTTTATTTTTTTGACTTTTTAATTTTCAGAGTAGTCAGTCCACAGTAAGTAATTTTTTAAACTGTAACGGTTGTTGCATGGATGGATGGGAATACAGACTAATAAAACTGACTTTATTGCCATACTTTTTCAGGACACTTTCAAACCATATAAAACCCTGTTTATACGAGCTGAGCTGCCATTGAAAGTGCCACAGTGACAGATATGTTGTCCAGACCACTCCTACCTCTTGCTGCCCTTTGCTCCTGCTTTTTCTTTTCTCATTTGCAGAGAAGAGATACATTTGTCTGTTTGGACAGTAGTCTTTAACCTCTTACTTTCTGGAAATGCCTGGATTAATGGAGAGGCTCTACAAGAGGGAGGAGATAGGGGTCTGTTGGTGAGCAAAAAGTCAGAGAGCCAGCCTACTAGAAATTGGGGGAGGAAGGGAGTAAATCTCAACCCCACCCCACCCCCATATCCTTTCCTGTAGCGCAGGGGTGTCAAACTGGTTCCAGAAAGGGCCGTGTGGCTGCTGGTTTTCTTTCCACCCAAGCAGTAGCACACCAGACTCCATTCATCCCATCAAGTTGTCAGGTTAAGACTAGACTCACCTTGATGAGATGAATGAAAACATGCAGTTTAATGTCCTTTTTAACCACTGGAAAAGTATTCAAGCCTTATTTAAACCAACTGATTGACGATTGTATAGCAACAGGTGGGGCAGGGGGGAGGCTGCATGTTCTTGTTCATAAGTCATCAAAGAACTCTAGTCAAACAGCCATAAAAAAAAAGACAGATAAATTTAAGGTTTTGAAACTATATTTCCTACTTTGCTGCACCTTTATAATTAAACTAAATAAAGTGAATAGTGATAAGATAAAGGTTCTTGTTAATAAAAAGTTGAAATAGATTAGTTAGATGATAAAGAGTCTCATTTTGTTGTTTTGGTATCAGGAGAGCGAACTGACCGAAAAAGACTAAAAGCCTAATCTGGCATCCAATAAGGAATTTACATTTATCATCTTTAAAGAAACTAGCTTATTTCTGTTTAAAATCCTTGAGCAGAAAATTCCACCCAATGTTATTAGATTGTAAGAGTTTAAGTAGAGTACTCCGTACATAGAGCAACCCACACCCCGCTATATGACTCAGCTTGCCTCACGCCTCCGAAGACGTGTAAGGACACATAGCTGAGTTGTGGCTTCCAAAAGCTAAGAAAGGTCTACTTTGTGTGCAGTTTATACTGGTTGCAGACAAAAAAAAAATCTACCAGTTTGGAAATTGCATATTAAACAAAACTTCAAACTCCACTCCTTGCTTTACTTTATGAACAATCAATGCAACATGCATCACATTGCTTGTTATTAATGCAAAAAAAAAAAAAAAAACACATCTAGATAAGTTACCATCGTACCATGGTATTATTGTTTTTACTGTTTTGCCCTTAGCTCCAGTATGGTCTTTGGAGGCTGAAAAAAAGAGAAAAAAGCTGCTCACTCCTCCTAGGAGGACAAACTTAGTTGGAAGGTACCATTCCAATGAAAATATTACAGAATAAATAAGGACAATTTGGAATTTGGTGTATGGAAAAATAAAGGAATTGCTCTTTTTATACAATGTTGCCGTAATTGAACCCAATATTAAAATAAAGCTCGCATGACACATTCAGAGCTGATAAAAAACTATGTATTTATTTATTTTTTTGTTTGTCTCTCAAGTTAAAGTCCATCCAATTCCAAACTCTAAAATTCTATTTACAGGCCAGCTAATACAAACACATTCCCCCTGTTTTTAAATGCAGGATCTACCCAATCTCACATTCTCATTCATGCCAGTACATACAGGCCCTCATCGGACCAGCATCTTATTACATCTGGCATGAACCCAATGGGGATTCCATTAATAGGATTGCATGTATAAATACATTAAGATAGATTGTTTAGCAGAAACTAGTATAACACCATATTAAAAATACAGGTTTTTACCCTGGAGTTCATTTAGGCCTACTAACTCATTCAATGAATGACCTACTTGATACATGTAATCCTAAAACCACCACATTCTGTGTTCACCTGAGCATAATCAGAACCAGACCATCAGCCTCGATGCGGGGCCCTTTGATCCCTGCCTGCAGTTCATCTCTAAATGGGAGTGCAGGACAAAGGGGGCTCCCAGCAGCTTTTACCCACACACGGTTCGCACGAAAAAAAAAAAAAAAAAAACTTTAATGATCACAGAACAGCTTTCTAAAAGTCATGCCATTTTTTTGAACTGGATGTTTCTACTGTTTTGAAATAACCCCCTCCTCTTCTAATCTAAAAAACAACAACAATGACTTCCATTCAGCGTGCATTGTGGTGCATCAGCTGCTTTTTTACTTTTGCAAATGCATTTAGATGCTAAATCGCATCGCTTTTTTATTTTATTTGTTTCCCAACTTGTGTGAAAAACTCACTTTACTGATCCAGAGCCTAGACCTGCAGGAACGTAGTCCTCATCCCGGCTGCTGTGGCAGTTCTCGCTGTCCGACTCTTCCTCTGACTGCAGCTTCTCCTCCTCACCTTCGGACCCTGAGAGCCGCATTTTGAAGCCCTGATAAGTTCAACCTGCTGTTCCTTTAATAGATTTTCAAAGATTTCTAACAAGAGCGATCAGGTTTGCTTTCTTTTGATAGCAGATCGGCTACACGCCCTGATCTTCAGTGAAAAATGATCCCTTTCACTGGTCCCAGGGCCGATAGGGTTTCCCTCTGTTCTTGACCATATATGGACATAGTCACTTCCGTGTGGGGGTTCTCACCGACTTTCCCTTTCAAGAATAAAATTAACATAACATTAGATAATTGGGATAAATCCGTTTTCCTTTTTTTTTTTTTTCCCCAAACAGGCTGAAAAATGATATTGAAGTCAGTTAATTGGGATCAGAGAAATGTTAATGGCAGGTGATGGTTGCACTTAAATGCAAACCTCATTTAGAATCATTTCATATGGTTACAAATATTTTACATTAACTGTTTTTTTTAGACTTTCTAGAAACAATAATGATGAAAGCTTTCCTTACAGCTAAGGCAAGGCTATTATGTTAACATTTTAAAAATAGTCTGACTGATAGATGTGTTTAATGTCATAGGTGTTTATTTAATAGAAACAGAAAATCCCTTTATTGTCCCACTATGGGGGAATTCTGGTGTTTAGAACAATGATTGTAGAAAAATGGTCACAAAAATATGAACCTTAGAAAAATGTATAAGAATTATACAATAGTGAAGAGTTAATAGATTAACAATAAAATACAGTAAAGTGTTTTAACAATATAAAAACCTGGAGAATAAATAATCAATATAAAGCTATGGACATTTTTAGAGAAGTGGATATTTGAAAATAGCATCAACACCAGAGATGTGCAAAAAGAAAGAAGAAATGACAGCAGCATGTTATTTAACTGACTAAGACAGAAAATGCAAAATCGGCATGAATGTAAAAGCTTATTGAGGTTCTTGGTGATAGAGTCTTACAGCTGCTGGGAGGAAGGATCTGTGATAATGCTCCCTGGAGCATTTAGGGTGCAGCAGTCTGCATTGAAGAAGCTCTCCAGTTCTGCTACAGCTTCATGCATGGGCCAGGAAACATTATCCAGCAGAGATGTACTATTTATTATTCATTGTGTATTTAATAGTTTACCCTGTGAAAGGTTTAAATGTCAGAACATGTTTCCTGTTTGATATAATTTTGATGATATAGGATTTTTAACTTCACTTCTGTGCCTTTAATTTATATTGTCCTGTTTGGCAAAATATAGGTGTGTGAGATTTGTGCTGAATTTTAATTAAAATGGGCAGTCAGTGTATCAGCTGGATAGGCAAGACATTCTTCACTAATGTGCATAGCAGTATCTGTTTTTTTTTCTTTTTCTAAAGTGGTTTCTGAATTCCGGAACCTAAGCATTCTCATTAAAAATAAGACAGTAGTTATATTATGACTCTAGAGAATTGTAATAAGTCAGGTTTCAGGGTTTTTTTTATACCCCGAACAGGGTGAAAAACCATGTTTGAAAAGGCTGAATAAACAGTTGGTGATTTTACAGGTCAAATAATTCACACCATATTTTTTATTTAAGTTGTGCAGTCATTTTGATCGCAGAAATCCAAATATATATTTTTAAATTGTTCTTTCAGAGCCAACAAAATGTGCAAACAGCAAACACTTGTAAAAGCAAGTCTGTTTTTCTGTTTACAGCTGAAGTCATGAACAGGTAATGAATTATTCAGTCTGTCACAGCTGTGGGTTCAAAATCTTGATAGTTTAAAGGCCCCATTTCACTCACATTTCTGTCTTATGAGGATTTGTTTTTCATTGCACCACGTCTCAAGACTCTTCTTCATTACTTATTTATTTCAGACTTGTGGAAATTCTGCCTTGCTCACGGTTTGTTGGAAGGTGGGGCTCCGACTACATAGGTGAAGATTCTCATCAGAATGTGCAGTCTGACAAGTTGCAAGTTTTTTAAACATATTCATGACCAAAAGGCTGAGAGCAAAGATAGTAATCAAACAGATATGAGGGTTTTGAAGTACTTTTCCACCAAAACCCAGAATGTTTTACAACTTATAATTTCTCTTTTATATATAAATACACCAAACGTTTCTTACACAGAAGGCTGATAGCCAAGTGTTTGTTTTTTTTTAGTTCTTTAAGTTCAGGCTTTTTCTGGTTTTTCTGCAGTTGGCCAAAATTCCAGTAGTTTTACAACTACCCTGATGAAGTGATAAAGATGTAGAACAATAATCCAGAAAAGAGGTTTAAAAACCAAGTCAGGACTTTAAAGGGGGAATTTGATAAATGTTTCCCATGAGCAAGTCCATTGTTAGGACAGGATGTCTGTTTGGGGTAGACATAGGTCATGGAGCACAATTCCTCATCCTATAGCCTCAGGAAAACAGAGGCCATCACAAGAGACCCCTTATATTCTGCCCAATGTCTGTATGAACTGCTGCAGGGAAGTCAGATCACTCAATACCAGACTTACCAACAGCTTTTTTCCCCCTGTGGCGTTAGGACTGCTAACAGAAAACTAATAGACACAGATACTCTTAATCACACATATTCATTCTTAAAATGTCTTAAACACTGAATCTGATCTTAGTCATATAATTTAGGGAGTGTGTGTATTGTAGGGTTTTGTTTTCTTGTTTTTTTTTGGTTTTTTGTTTTGGTTGTTTGACATGTCTTCCAGTTAAGACCTTATCCCATAAGATGATAATTTATAGAGTTTAAAATCCCAGTAGGTACCGTTTTTGATAATTTTAACATTATAGTGGATCCTATTCTGGTCTACAGTTACAATATGCTGGGAATCCATCAAAGAAGCATGCAAAACCACAACTGAGCTGCAGAGAGTACAAAGTGGTAAATAACTCTAGTTATCACACAGCTGGAGGTGGTTTTTCTTGGGCAGCGGAATTCACAAGTATTGTATTGATCTTGGTGAGTGGGTAAAACCGCTGAAACCTTGGGTCCAAATTAAAATAGTGCCTCTGTATCCGCAGACTGACCGTGGTCAGACAGCAAGTCTTGTCGTCTAAGCCTGACTGAGCTGAGCTCTTGTAGAAATGATCTGATCACAGATTCTCCAAGCAGAGACATTTTTTGATTACGTCTGTTCAAGCCCCAGGCCTCTGGGCATACTAAACTGTACATGCTCCACTGTGTTTCAGAAATGTTCATGGTACAGTAAGAGGGTGTTTTTGTCCAGAGAAAAAAAAAAGTCTGAACTGAGGTATAGCAGTTTAACTATAAGAGGATTGAGCACTGATTGTCTGGTAATGTGAGCTTGTCCTTTCCTCTTATATCCTTGTGTCTTCAAGATAATGGTTGCTAATCTGGAAGATTGTCAGCTCCTTATTGAATTATGTGGAAAAACCAAATACTACAACTGTGTTTAGATATTTTATTACTAGCCAGCACCACCTGATAAAATGCAATTTTTTTTAGGATGCAGTGTATTTGTTATTACTTAACATGTATTTTCTTTCTTCATAAAAACAGATAAATTTAAATTACGTTTTGTTAAAACATTCCCTCAATACTTTCATTACTGAAATGAATATTTATAAAGTTGTATTTTGGTAAGAGAACAAATGTTGTTAACAGTTAAACGTTGATAAATTTTTTTTTTTATAATTTTACATATGTTTCGCTATTTATTTGTTGAAACATTTGAAGATGCCTTTATGTCTATTAAGGCTGATTCCTCCCATTCAGTAGCTCATAATACCAAATACACACACACAAATCGCATAAGCACAAACTATTTTCCTGTTGTTCCCCCTAACACCATTAGTGGCCTGATGAAGTCCCTCTTGGTTCACTGCTCTGGAGAAAAATGCAATTTCATCATATGAGGAACAAAAGATGATAAAGGCCTGTTTCTCAGTCAGCACAGCTTTTTTTTTTTTTTTTTACACAATCAGCCGACACTTATTTTCACCCAACTTTACTTTTTTCCTTCATATTATAGGATATATGCAGATATTAGTTCTTGTCTATACATATCTAGCTTAAAGTGACAGTGGTTGAGTATAGTAGCTGTATTCGTGAATTAGTGTAAAGTAAAGTTTGATAATCTTATCCCTTTTTGTGTTGTCAGTTGATTTACTTTCTGTTTCTGGATATTATGTGTTTGTAAATGTCAAATCTTTAGGTACATTTAAATCTAAAGCATCATACTTACTGTATGTTCCCAAATAAAATCCAGACTTAATTATTATGTAGAAACTGTGATGGGAGACAAATCATAGACTTTTACATTATTGTTTTTAGAAATTGCTACCTATTTTAAAATATTTGATATAATTTGATAAATTCCTGAGTTATAATAAAAAACAAACCGGATAGAATGCAATTGCACATTTAAAACTGTCAAAAAAATTAATAAAATAAAATAAATCTGTCACAGTTATGAATATCTTATTTCCTAACTGTTACTCTTGTGCATTGTAGGAACATTGCCATCTTTGCTGTCTGTTCTTTTGTAAGTTAAACGCATGTACTAATATACAGGTGAAAGAGTTTTTTTTTGTTCCTTTAGTCTTTATTTGTTCTGCTGAAGGCTGTTTCACAAAATACAACAAATCCTGATTAAGAGATAAAGCCATACTTGACCTGACGTGATCAGTGTAGCCAGGGTTTATTCGTTTCAGAAAGGCCAAACCAGGGAGGCTAAGGAAGTGCAACTACTGTATGTCAAACCAGGTGTAAGTAATAACAAGTGTCTGCACCTTTCCTTCCAGAGACCATAAGGTTGAGCAAAGATTCAGTGGTGCTATAATAAAGAGGTTGCATCACACTTCACATCAAACAGGCTACATCTTTACATGGAGCTTTATGGGGAATTGAAACACATGAGAAATTATACACTTTTCCTATTATAAATGAGTGACTAAGGATGTGGCAAACAATAGCAGATTAACTAAAAGGCATAAAATATAACATCTCCTAACCATTTCTTCATGACCATACCATTCAAGAAATAATTTGTCATTTTCTCGAATAAACAACCTTTATAATTCACATTTAATTTGCAGATTTTCCAGCCCCAGAAACCAGGTAATGTTTACACTGGTAACTCCTATAAACAGCTAATGGATCTAACCTGTGCCAAACCCCCATTCCTCTTAAGAGAAGTGTGTCGTCCTCTATAACATTTTTCCCAACCTTTTTTGATTTGTGTACCCATTTGGTCATTTTGTC